CTTCAAAATAAGGGTCCGTCTTATATTCCGAAAAATACGGTAGTTTCGTTCTTGTTGATCTAATACGGTAGTAAGCTCTGGTTTGAAATTTCCAATCCCGCTTACATTACACCTTTTATTAGGGTTAGCATGAAATGTGAACAACATAAAAAATATGTGTATTCAAGAGGAAATATGTTGACAAATCAAGAAATAACAATATACAAATACGTGTTATTGAACCATTCATTATACAAACAGTGTATCAAAATTCCCAACGTTTTATTATACTCCTACATTCGAGTTATTATCCACTAAGATTTGATGAGATTACTGCAAAATTCCACTCGGAAAGTTTACGTTGTTGGTCACTTTGGGACCAACACAAGGGTATCCTTGAAGTAGGTTATGGATTGGAAACCCAATAAGCAGGTTATTTACAACAATTATCAAACAAGGTTTCTATGAAATATGGCATTATAAACTGCCATCACAGAGAACACTTGTTGCTCACCACGAATGATGTTATAAACAAACAGACCAGATGATACTGTACTACTTAGATGGATTATCTTCTACAACAGCCTATGCAGTGAAATAAACGTTTTGAAATTTGTTTTGTATGAACTGCATTTATAGTGATGGTCAATGATAGATATTAGTTTATAGCTACATACTCCGTCTGCCTATTTCTAAAACAATTGTGTCATATTGATCCAGGGTTTATACTTGACAGTTATTTGTAATGATTATGTAAAAAAGATATATATATACGACCTAGAAAGTCGTTGGGGTCCACTTGGACCCCAGGTTTGTAATGTCTATAGGTAAGCCTATAACACCAATCTTTTGGAAATTGCTAATATAACTCGATAGGGTACTGTAATAACATAAGATTTTCTGTTTTCTTCTTGAGCACAAAGTTACATAATAGGCCATCTGTATTGTTCCCACGGGGGGGGGGGGGTAACATAAGAAAATAGCAAAATAAAAATGAAGTTATAAGTGGATAAAAAACAAAAAATCCAATAATCTTTCAATTTTCCGTTTTATACACACTAAGTTGGTAAAGTGGGATATACATACATGTCTGCAGATTACGAACGACAATACATGACCTTTATTCCAAGTTATAACTACAGGAATACGAGTGGCAAAAAATTCAAACACAGGCTTGCTGAAGGCTTACGACCTTTCTATGCTTAGTCTACAAGCAGAGTAAACAAGTGAAAAGGTCGTTGTCACACCAACATCGTGAGCCCAGTATAACGAGACGAACGTAGAATCGACCCATACTGTTTCTGTCCTTTAAGTACAGATCATTGCAGCTGACACACTTATAATAAATGTCCTCGTATGATCCTCTGTTGTCGTCCTCGAGCCCAATCAAACGACGAATTACATTTGTTTTCTTTGCTGCCAGTGCTTTGGACGTTTTCGTAACTTTTCCCCCCTTTGCGCAGCTTTTTTTTTAGGCCTTTCTTTTCTATACTTTGTTATCATTGTTGGCTTGCAACCCATTCTCCAGTTCAACCTTATAAGGAGAATTTGTCGGGATACCTGTTTTACCACCTTTTTTTTTTCTTTTTTTGTCAGCTTACCACAAATTTGCAGTCCAAAGGTTTCCTTCGGGTATGGGCGGATGTTTTCAGGTGAAGCATACCAAGAGATCAAAAGAAGGCTGCCATCTTTTGGAGTAGAAGAGACGAGATCCTCACTTATACGTCTCCATCCCATCATATTTCTTCTTTAGAACGTTAACACCCTACATTTAAATTCCATCAGATCCTCTACTGCACGTTTCTTCTTTAGAACGTTAACACCCTACATTTAAATCCCATCAGATCCCCTACTGCACGTTTCTTCTTTAGAACGTTAACACCCTACATTTAAATTTCATCAGCTAACGTCCTAAAGAAGAAACGTGCAGTAGGGGATCTGATGGGATTTAAATGTAGGGTGCTAACGTTCTAAAGAAGAAACGTGCAGTAGGGGATCTGATTGGAACACCCTACATTTAAATTCCATCAGATCCCCTACTGCACGTTTCTTCTTTAGAACGTTAACACCCTACATTTAAATCCCATCAGATTCCCTACTGCCCATTGGCGTCCGCATACATTTTTCCAGGGTGGGGGACAAAGTAGTGTGAAATTGTGAATTGAATAAATAAAGAAATAATTATGTTTCTCATTTTCCATGGGGGGCATGTGCCCTCTCTTGCCCCTCTCCCTGCGAACGCCCATGCTACTGCCCAACTGCATGTTTCTTTTTTTTCCCTTTAAATAATTTTTCCAGTGTTGATACTCTATAGGTTCTGAAAACCAGACTTTCCAGTACAAATGGCTATATATTAACTTATTTTAATTCCTAAAAAAAGTCCCAATGTGTTCCATCACTATTTACATACCCATCTTTATTCATAGGAGACCCAGCATTTCACGAGTAGGCCGCCATGATGAATGGTTCACGTGAGTGGCTGTATCATTTACACCGACTGCTGGTAGATGGCAGCACTTTAAAATTGATAAACTGTTCGTGTTCCGTTTTAGGACACCTTTCCCTGCATTTGCCTGAGTAACATGTATATATATGTCCTCATTATGGACATTGTAATGTTTAAATCGAGGTCCCAACAATTCTAAGAAAGAAACAAAATGAATGCTAGGGTTGTTATACAGACTTCTATGTGAACAAACAGTGAAAATTGACAAGGAGAAGAAATCACGTTTCTTGTTACATTAAAACTGTTGTGGTCGTGTAGTTTTTATACTGGTATATATTCAAACTAAAGGCTTAGAAAACTAAGGCAAACAACTAGTAATGGAAGCGGTATATGGGAACGCTCCCCCCCCCTCCCAGGTTTGCACTACAACTTTTGTGTTCGTGTAGTTTTATACTGGTATATCTTGAAACTAAAATGGCTTAGAAAA